TTTTTGTACAGCAGCAGTCCTTTGTTCTGTTCACATATTGCATGGGTGCGTGCTGATGAGGGAGTATCATTTGAACTATATTTACTAATGCATTCAAGCATTGACTGAGAAAGATTTCATTTATGCATTGAGAAAGATTACATGATGTAAAATACCTGGATGCACTTGTTCTTGTTCTCCTACAACTTCCATGTTAAGATCAAAAGCTCTCAAGTTGAGATCAAAAGGATGTACAACCCCTCCACCTTATGCTTCGATAGCATGCCTTCCTTCTCCTTCTTCCAGATTGACTTATGCTTCATTGAGGTCAGGTAAAGCCCCTCCATCTCCCTCTTCATCTGCTAGTATATTTAGATCTATAGCCATTGTGATTTGTGGGCATGGAGTTGCTTTGCAGACTGGTTGTCTAGTTCCTTGAGGACTTGAAGGGAATGAAGGGGCACCCTTTGGCGGCAAAGTCACATATGCATGTATTTTGAATTCAGGGGCTTGTTTAGATAACTATGCCACCATGTAATAGGAGTGTTTTGGCGCCAGTGAACTCAAATTATGTGTATGCTTTGCTGCCGTATTGCTGGGACAAGTCTTTCATTAATTAATTGTAGAATGAAATATTCCTTGTGTGTCAGGAGTGGTAGTGCACTCTTTGGATTGAAATGATTAACTGCATGTAATAATTTATGGGTAATATGATTATTTTTACCTAAACATAAATTGCTTCTATTATCCTAAGACATCCACTATACTGGGACGGAGGGAGTACTATAACAAGAGCATTGGATTCGATTAGTCGTCGCTTCGTTGTTGGATTCGTGGCCATCCATCAGATCGATGTACTGTCCTGGTCACCGGCGTGATTCCACGATTGAAGAAATCGATCTCATCTGATCGGCGGCAGCAGGCGCGTGTCGTCTCGTCGTCTCGCCGATTTAAAGCGGAGTCATCTGTCGACTCCGAGCAGCCGGCGTCCACCTACCAATCTACCGGCGTCACGCACACGTCGGGACTCAGGAGATCAATATACCAGCGCTCACCCACGTCGGGAGAAAAGAAAAGCAGGAGGTCATCTAATCGTGCACGGTTCCCGATGAAAATCAAGTCAGGAAGGAAGCCACCGCTCCTGCCCTGTTCTTGTAAATTAAATTTCACGTTGGATTTTTCCTACGTGCACATATCCATCGTACCATGGAATCAATCCTTGCATTGTTTCGGTTCTGTCCATATTCCGTTTTGTTGTGTTCACAAAGCCAAATTTTCCCAGGAGGTTTTATTCGGATATCAAAGATACTTCGTTTTATACATGCAGAGTGTTTCGTGTTTCTGCTAAGCTTTGACAAATTATACCAGCAGATTCAGGATTTTATTCCTAATATGAGTTTGAAGTTTGATGTACCGCTCCTGAATTGAAATGCTATATTCTCGTTATGGCAAGTGAAGATACAAGTTGGCGTAGCCGTCGAGGACGAGAAGCAAGTATTACTGTGCACCGGAGAGAAAAAAAAAAGAGGCAACACTTTCAAGTCGTCGAGAGGGAGCCTCGCTCTTGTTTAGATCACAAGATGATTTTATTGCCATGGCGAGTTTGAAGTTTGTGCATCAGTTTCGCGTCTCTGCTGGGTTCCACAATATCATTCCAACAGATTCAGGATTTGTTCCCAATGGCGAGTTTAAAGTATGGTCTACCTCTTCTGGATCGAGGGTGTTACATTATAGTCATGGAGACTATTTAGCGCTCAATGATTTTACCTACACAAGATATCTTTGGAGATTGAAGATAGGGAAATTCGTATCAAGGTGGAGATTGTTAAATATGTGATCCGAATTTTGGGCCTACAATATATTCTGATTAGTCTCCTAGTAGGAATCCATGACTTTACTATTAGGTGTCTTTCTATTATCTCCTATATATACTCTTGTAAGCCGTACGGGAAGGGGTGACGTTCCTATTGTTATTCCTCTACGTTTGTAATCATCTCCTCAATAGTGATCATTGCCGGTCGGCGTCCGGAGTTTTTTCCCGTAAGGGTTTTCCACGTAAAAATTCATGCCTCCGTTATGCATATAGCTATTTTCGTAACATTAGCTAGCTTCTCGCAGCTGCTTGCCGCACGGCCCCACCCTGCTCGCGTCCTTGACGACGAACACGTACATACGGTCGCGTCGAGCACCGGTTGATGATGAAGAAATTAGTTAGCAGAAAATTTAAAACACAGCTTTATTTATCACGATTTTGAGATTACAGTACAATGCAACGTGTTGCATCTACATCCATCTTTTTGAGCCAACTAGCAAGGTGGCCCGCGCGCATGCGCGGGCACTTGTATTATTGATTGGTAATATTATTGTTTGTTCAAAATTTTGTCTCATAGATTAAAGGCAAACTAAAGTTCGTATAATGTTATTTTATAATAATTAAAGGGTTCTATTTTTCTTAAGGTATCTTAAAAAAAACTTACGACTTTTGAATCATGTTTTTTTCTCTCGAGTAAATAAGAAAGGAGAAACTATTGCTAGTTAATTATCATACAGTCCATCTATATACATACCGTGTAGTATGGCCACAGATTAAAAATGCGAGAGTAAGATACTGAAAATTGTGATTAAATCGTGTCATAAAGGCGCATGATATAATAAGAAAATGAGGGAAGCGTATGCATGGAGAAAAAATGGGAGGGGAAGCGTACGTACCCACGTACGCAGGTGCGTACCTGTGCCTCGGGAGGAGAGGCGGGACCACGTAGTATTTAGTTTGTTCTAAGATCATTTTAATCTAACGGATTATAATATTGGACGTGCCGATTTAAGTGAAAATCAAGTAATAGATACTTCGTTTTTTCTTAGAACTTCTAATATTTGATCTAATTCATTAGAGCACCACATGGCAGCTTGAGAGCATTTTAAGGAATTTTAAAGGACTTCACACATGTAATTAGAATATTAACCGCGTAATATGTAAGTATAGGACATATGGTAATATTTGTTCCAGCTTCGTCCATGTTATATACATGTAGAGAGAAATTAATTATTTGGCTAGCAAGCCATTAAATGTCTAATTAATAGCAATTAATTTTGACACATATTTACAGTTGTTTATAGTAGCTCTTACATATTCATCTTATGACTTTCATTATCCATTGATCTCCAATTTATTGATCACCATGACTCGCATACAAAAAAAATGTACAACTTAGGGTTTAGGACAGGTGAAATTGATGAATTATCTGATTTATGTGATAGCTATTTGAGGGTATAAACGAATGAATTGACTTCTAAAATTAAAATGTTGTTTAAAAACAACATCATTTAGAAAGTTGGAAAGCATGGAAACGAAAATCCAAACTATGGAATCAGGAAAAAAGAGGGCCTTAAACTCCCTTATAACACCCTTGTCTTAGTAAGAGTTCTATTGATATTCATTAATATTGTGCTCGCATTTATAACATAATTATTTCTTTCACTTGTACAAACAAATAGTATAAAATCCAAATACGAGATAACACAATACATTATAATTATTATGTAATCAAATCTCAGTTTCAGCTGAAACAGAGCTAAGTGTTGGGAAAAACAGAACCCACGGTGCCTAAATCTTCCCTCGCAGCATCACACCTTTAATTTTCCTTTTATGTTATTAACAAAATGAATGATATCCATATATGATTTGATATGTGGCAAAGCTATAGCGCTGCAGCGGTCGTGATCACCTTAGATGACTCAAACACAACGCTTTGTCATGCGTGCAAAAGGCTAAGGTGCAGACGTGTAGTGTACAGCGGGCCAAAAAGAGAACTTCGGATGTTTTATTTATTAGCAACCAATAGATCTGATGATTTAAATAATGGGTCCACCGGTCCTAGTGTAAGTGTAAATTAGTTAATATAGATTTTAAATTGTTAATTTAATAGGTACACAATATAATGGTATAAACTTTATTTTGAAACAGTGCACTGCAATAAAAAATAGATCCGATGATTTAAATAATGGGTCCGTCAGTTTAGGTGTACATATAAATTAGTTAATAGATCTTAAATTGTTTATTTGATAGGTACACAATATAATTGTGTAAACTTCATTTTAAAATAGTGCATTATTTGAAAATAATAGTACAATGTAATGAGTACACCGGTTTAAATGAAAATTATCTTACATTATTAGTTTAATGGGTAACATATAATGGTGTAAATTTTATTTTCAAAAATTATAGGGCTAATTTAGTTACCTGTGAGTTGTATGATGGTAGACTCTTTGTTTGTAAAATTATTATTATTTAAATAAATATATCCACTACATAAATGAAAAAAAAAGGAAAAAAGGGAAAAAAGAAGGGAAGGAAGCGTACGTACATGGTAAGTACGTATGCCTACGTATGTGCGGGAGAAGGAGAGGTGGGACCCCATAGTATTTGGTTTGTTTTAAGATCAATTTCATCTAACAATGTATAATATTGGACTTACCAATTTAATTAAGTGAAAATCAAGGGGTTGATGTTTTGCTTTTTTCTTAGAATTTCTAGGATTTTCTATAATTTATTAGAGCGTAACGTGGTGGCTTGAGAGCGTTTGTAGGATTTTCTCTAATTTATTAGAGCGCCACTTTTAGTATATAATAGATAGATAATAGATGGCTATATATATAATGGGTGTAAACTTTATTTTAAAATATTGCATAGCTAATTTAGTTATGTATATATTTGAAAATAGTGATATGATGATATAATTTATATATGTTTGTAAACACTAATCTTATATATAACGTCAGTGCGATATTTTGTTACAAGCTTAGTAGCTAGTTGTCCGTGAATATTTATACATAATAATTACCTATCACATGGTCACAGTGACTTATATTTTGCATTAACCCTTCTCCCCTTTACAGAGTACCAAGCCAAAAATAAGACATACGTATGCATTTGTATTTCATAGAAACTATACAAGGAAAAAGAAGAAGAGGGGATACAGAAGGAAGGAGAGCGGCATGGTTGTTTTTTCTTGCGATATATACATACGTATACCATATGTATACGTACCTAGGGGGAGGAGGAGAGGTAGGTGGGACCATAGTTGTAGTGTCCGATTTGCTTTAAGATTAATCTAATCTAACGGTTTATAATATTGGACCCACCAATTTTAAGTGAAAATCAATGTACGGATGTTTTTCTTTTTTCTCAGAATTTTTAGGATTTTCTCTAATTTATTAAAGCGCCACGTGTCAACTTGAGAACGTTTTGAGGAAGTTTAATGGACTTTTAGTATATAATAGATAGATAGATAGATAATAGATAGAAGATAGATACTAGCTTGACACATGCGATCTCATTCGGAGTCGCCGGCAGCGGCGGCAAAGGTGAACCCGGAGCCTCGCAGCGCGTCCTCGACGACCCTGTCCAGCCGCGACGCCATCTCCGGCGACATGTGGTTGCTCCAGTCGCCGGCCACCCCTCTCCGGAAGAAGCTCTCCTTCTTCACCGCCAGGTCGGTCACCCCGGTCTTGTTCGCCTGCACGTTCCTGAGTCGGTCGATGCTGCATAGGTCGACGATGGCGTCCACCACCCCGGCCGCCACCTCGCCGGCGGTGAACGGGCACCGCAGGAACTCGGCGAGCCTCTCCACGTTGCGCGCCGGCTCGCGCAGCATCTCCTCGTACCGGAGGAAGAGGACCTTCTCCGGCCGCCTCCGGCTCTCCTCCCAGTACTCGCGGACGTGGTGCCACTGCGGCCCAGCGATGCTCCGCCCGTCGCAGAACAGGTCGAACACCTGCTCGATCGATGGCGCCGCCGCCGCCGCCGCCGGGTGGTGTTCGTCCGTGGTCGTTGTGACACCCTTCACCATGTTGCTCATGGTGAACAGCCACATGGAGACGAACGCGTCCTTGGGGTCCCGGCAGACGTACACGATCCGGCAACCGGAGTCGCCGTCGTCCGCCGCCGCCGACGTGATGCGCTCCGGCAGGAGGGAGTAGGGGATGTGAGTGGCGAGCAACCGCGCGCGGCGACGGGAGGGCGGCGAACACGTCCCCGGGCGAGCAACCGCGCGCGGCGACGGGAGGGCGGCGAACACGTCCACGTCTCCGCCGCCGCCCTCGCCGGAGATGGCGAAGGTGGACTCGAAGAACTTGACGCAGTCGTGCGGGCCGCGATGGCGGAGCGGGTGGGCGTCGCCGGACGGCGGGTAGGTGGTCCGGTTGATGGTTGCGAAGGCGAGCGCCTTGAGCCAGGTGGTGCCGGACTTGGGGAAGCTGGCGAGGAAGACGTCGGATGGCCTCGGCTCGAAGCGCGTGTGCACGGCCTCGAGCCCAGGGAGGACCCACTCCGGCAGCCAGTAGCCGCCGTATTGCCGGAGCGGGAACGGCGGGCTCCCCGTCTCCAGCGGCAGCGTGGGGATGAGCTCGGCCATGTCCATGGCGGCGCTGCCGCCTTCGCGGTGAACGCTGGAGGTTGGGGCCATCGGGCTAGCTAGTATCGTGTGCACTGTGCAGGGAGGGGTCTTCTGCTTGTGCCTCATCCGTCCATTTTATAGCGATTGAGTTCTGATAGCTGCTCAGTCTCAACGCCATAATGGCCTCTGCCTCTCTGGACTCTGGAGTATTGTCGCTCATTTCAAGAGCAAATGTACAACAGATTATAGGAGACCGGTTCTAATCACCCGAGTGAGCCTCCACCCGCTTTATTACATATCAACTAAATAGTTATAATTTTTTTAAAAAAATTAATATATAATATTTCACTCGACAAACATACAATTTCAAATTCGACTTCTACGAGTTATAACAAAAATAACAAATTTAACTACAAATATACGTATACTAATTTAAGTTTTTTTTTTTGTTATTTTTGTTACAATTTGTAGAAGTTGAATTTTAACTTACATGTTTGTGGAGTGATATATTACATATTAATCTTTATTTTTTTTCAAATTTTATCATAACTATTTAAATGACATGCATAAACGAGTGGACATCCACTCGGGTGATTAAAAGAGTTTCCAAAGATTATGTTGTAACAGTTTAGAGGGTAGCAATTAGTACTTCTTCCGTCTCAAATTATAGCCATACATATTAATTTTTTATTGTTAGTCTTAAATTTATACCTCCCGTTTGGAAAAATAAAAATATTTTTATAAGTGGGCCTCCTAAAGGGGCACCTACCAAAATTAAAATTTTCACGGTGACATATTAGGAGCGCCGATGTCAAAGATACAGAAAATCAGCCTCTTTATCCCCTCACAGTCCTACCACTCTCTTCTTATCCTCTCCTCTCCCTCTCCTTCTCTAGTTCTTTCTCTCTCTCTCTCTCACCAGCCGGCATGGAGCAGCGGTTGCTCGCCGAAGAGATCCAGTGGTGACGGTTGCAAAGCGAGCATGGCTCACGGCGGCTCGGTCATGGAGCCCACCGGTGGCGGCTGCAAAGCGGGAAGGAGGTGTGGCGATGACTCAACGAAGGGGCTTGGCGACTCTCCTCATCTGCTACTGCCTACTGCTGCTGACCACGCCTGTTGCTGCTGAGCCTCGGGAGGCTGTATCGGAAGACAGCGGTGTAGGGTGGCGACGCCGACCTCGACAAGGACAATGGCTGACACATCGATGGCGATGACAGCTGAGACCAAGCTTGGGGGAGGTGGATCCGTAGCCGACAAGCTTGGGAGAGGCCGATCCATCGCTGGTGAGAACGGGGGAGGCTGATCCGTCACTGTAGAGCTCAGGGGATGTCACCGATAAGCTCGGGGGAAGCCGATCCATCACCGGCAAGCTTAGGGGAGGCTGATCAGGATATTTTTCATAGTTTGTAATCCGTTATTTGTTCTATTGGATTTGATGGAATGTTCTTCTTGTTTGTAGCTATTTGTTCGATGCTGTTGTTGTTGTTTATAGTTGTCTGTTCTTGTTTGTTCTATTGGATCTGATTATGATTTGAATATGATTCTTGCATGCAATAAAAATAGATTATTTTAGGGCCCAAAATAATTTTTGCAGACGGGTGACACTAGGGTGCCGCTTGTGAAAAGCAGATTTACACATGCAGGGCTCTTAGGATGATCATTTGCGAAAATTGATTTTTGAAGCGGTTGGATGCTCCGCCTGCGAAAATAAAAAATCTAGGACTTTTACCGGCTTTAGCATACAAGCGAAGCGTTTTGCCACCTAAGAAAACTTGTTTTAGCTACCTGTAAAAACAGTTTTTCTAGTAATAATGAAATGAGTCCACCAATTTTATGAATCGATTTTCTGTTTTGTTGGAGATATTTACTATCGTTTTTCAATTTGTTTGATAAATATCACAGCCAAATGATTTTTTTGTTAAATATGAATAGGGTTCATTATTTTAATTTTGCTCAGTAATAAACATAGCAACTTTAGTATAAACGTTTTCGATTGTAGCTCGCTTTATTGTTTTTATTTCATGAATAAACCGAGATTTTAATAACATGGCATCCTTTATAGTGTTTGTAAATATTGAAAAAAAGAATTAATGGTCAAAGTAATAAAATGAATAGTACAATATTTAAAAACAAAGGAACTAATTTGTTGCTTCATATGTGTTGATAACTATCCACATCAAAACACATCCTCCATCCCAAAAGATTTTATGATTTGTTATGCTCATGGACAAGTATCGGAATAGAATCACTGAAAAATGAAGCCTTCATACAACGAAGATAGTAACTATTGGGATAATTGTATCCATGCCTCAACTTTAACCCTAACAGCTGTCTTTTTTAGGGTTTACAATTTTACCCCGCCTTTTAAAAACGAAGCAGAGTTCTGCGTCTGGTTTGGATAGCTAATTTGACGGTGTTAATTCAATGGCGAAAAGACATCTATAACTTTAGTTATTGTTTTAGTTTTTCCTCTACTTGTGTCCAGGTAGATGAGTGGTAACTTAAAATAAACAACCAGACAAAATCACATCATCAGAACATGAACGCGAGCTTTGTTAGCAGGTTTGACATCTCACCACCAGAAAGTGAGCTCAAAAACCTATTTTTGGAGATATACCGTTCCAAGTTCTTGGTTACTTGAAAAAAAAGTGAGCTCAAAATCGATAGATACCATCATATCATATCAAGATCCAAGAATTAGTTATACAGCTATTAATTTGCAGTGACACACACGTCTCTTCTTTGTGTGATGCATGCATGTCTGGTTTGTCCATCAACAGAGAACTCAAGCATCACAAATCATCACCAATCAAAAATAAAGAATCAAGCATCACCAAATCACAAATCACTAACCCCACCAGATCCTCAAATCACCAACCAAAAATCAAGAATCAAGCAGCACATATCACAAATTAATCACCAACCATATCATAACCTGATCCTTGCTCGTCAGCTTGCAGGCACGCATGCAGCTGATGCCCAACCTCCCCGGCCGCGTGGCCGCTCGGACGTCGCAGCAAACCGACAGGTAGCAGCAGTCGCCTTTGACATCGAAGCAAAGCTGCACTGACAACCGCTGCCCGCCTGGCCGCCATGCCTCGCGCCGTCGCCGGAATCACCCCCCGCTCTGCCTGGGTTTTTGGTGTTGAAGATTGGGCCAGGGAACATTGGGAACCTATCTATTTATTACTCAGAGGTAGGACGGTAAATTAATATTTTATAATATATGATTGAAGGGGTGATAGGATTTATCCCTTTACCAAAAATCAAAATTAACCGATACAATCTTGCTCCATAACAAGAACGCGTCAAAACTACAACTAGAGTGGCGATTTACAAAAGCGCCGGATGTACATATTTATGCCCTCTGGTTTGTACGAGTTTTAATGAATTCCCTAATAAGAAAAGGAAAATAACAAATCCTGCCTATTTCAAGAGATGACAAATTTTGGTATAGGACATCGTGTCTTCGTGGTTATAGCTATAGAACACCACATAGAGTGAGTTTTGGGGGGAAGACACTCTATAAACGTGGTAATTTACCAGCGGACACCACGTCAATCATTTTACTGTATTCGTGCTGACATCGCAAGAAGGGGGCCACTTTTGTAACCGGCGTGACCAAAATGCCCATGTGTGTTTTAGTTTGGTTGACCTGGTTTGGCTCAAATAGACCCCGAGAAAAAAACCAATCTCTTCCATGCGCTCACACTGGCGTGGGCACACAACCCACTCCACGGTCCGCACGCCTCCGCAGCTCCCTCCTCGTGCTGTCGGGTTTGCCGACCTGAGGGCCACACACCGCTGGCGTCGCAAGGGACGCTTGTGCAGCTACCTCAATCTATGGTCCGCATGCCGCCACAACTCCCTCCGCACCGCAGCCAGTGTTCTCCATATCATTTGGCCTTGGTTACCGCCTATCGGCGACAGCGCAATTACCGTGATAACCGTGAAAAACCGCATAAAAATTGCATTAAAAAATTCAATTCAAATAATCGGCGGTTTCGTGGTTTTACCACGGTTACCGCGCGGTTTGCGGCGATAACCATGATATTCGCACGGTTATCCCCAACAGTGAAGAACACACATTGGAAAAAATCGAAAAATACGGTTAAATGTGTGTAGAAATTAGGGATAATTGGAAGAATACGTAGGATACTTAGAAATCTAATTTTTTAGTGTAAAATTCATAAATTCGGCACTATGATTAAAAATAAATTTACATCACAAGACATGAAGATATCTATCTACTCAACCAACAAATAACATCACTAGACATGGAAAGAGGAGGAGATATTTTCTCCACTAAAGGGCCATAATGAGCCGCATGAACAGTCCGAGATTAGGCCCATTCCATTTTTTCCATTTTCTAATTGACTTTCAGTTTAGCCCTCAAATTTGAATTTATCTAACTATTTTTTAAAAAAAGTTCTATACCATATGACACTACAATTCAAGAAGTACTGCATCATGATGTTTTCCCTTTTTTTTAAATTTGAATTTGCTCAAAATTCGTCAAACTCTAACCGATGGTAACCAATCTCATATCCCCATGGTAAGCTTGATAACCGCGGTTATCGCGCGGTTGCACAAACCCTGGCTGTAGCTCCCCCCACGTGCCGCTAAGGTCACCGAGCCAAGGGCCACGCACTGCCGCATGTCCCTCTCTCCGCGTGCGGCAGGTTCCTTCACGCACCGCAGCTCCTACCGCTACCAGTCGTGGCAAAACATGCGTGGGTATTTTGATTACGCTGTTTACAAAAGTAGGCCCCCCTGTCATGGCGTTAGCATGAATACACTAAAATAATCGGCGTGGTGTCCGCTGGCAAATTAGCACGTCTATAGAGTCTTTCCCCCAAACTCACTAGCGGGTGCTACAGCTAAAACCGTGAAGTCACAATGTTCTGTAGCCAAATTTGCCTTAAGAGATATACTAAGAAAATATGAAATTGCTTTGCCAGGGTCTTCACAATTCCTCTTGAACTCGGCCTTATCAAAATAAACTTTCATTTACCAATCGGTTTCTTTCCTAACCGAATCTAGTAAAGAACCCTATCAAATTTTGGTGATAACAATGGGATATGTGTGAAGTGTATGTACTGAAATTTTAATGTAATTTTGATGCAATGTGATATATGAGGGATGATCAGGGTGTATATGTGAGTTGTAGGTATATTTAGACTGTGTTCGGCTGCTGAGTTTCCCAACTCTCATCTCCCTCGTTTTCCGCACACACATTTTTCCAAATGTTAAGCAGTGTGTTTTTTTTACA